GACCGGCGAATCCGCCGCTCCACGGTGGATCGCGTTAATTTGCCAACGGCCGTGCGATTCGTGCACATCCAATTTGTCAATGGAAGATACGGGTGAGAAGCTCGCCGAGGTTCGAGGTTCGAATTAAAAATTTCCGAACGCGAAGCAAGATGGACACCCGAGAGGAGGGGGAGGGGGGGCGTTCGCTCGTTTCGGCGCGCCCGCGCTATTTCCGGGCCCTTGTCGGATTATTCATCGTTGCTAATTGGATCGGTACGGTCGCGCACACAATCATTCAGAGCGGCGTAGTAGCGACCGATAATTTTTGCGCTTTCTTCCTCAATCTCGGCAGGTGGGCGGAGGGATACGAGGAGCACACACGTTTCACGTTTCACGTTACTACTTTATCGCTGATATCCGGAGGAAGAGAGGTAGGACGAAGTACAAAGTATAAAGAGGCATTAATTTCATTTCACCGGAGGAATCGGGCTGTCTAACGGTATCGCCCGGGCCGAACGTTGCCTATCCCGAAGAGCGAGGTTAAAGCGGAAACGCACAGGCACGGATAGCGAAAGAGGAAGACAAAAGCGTCACGATCTATTTCGCGCTGCTTCACGAAAGATCCGCCGCATTGTTTGCCAAGTTATACCAAAGCTGCGAAATCGCGCAGCGCGTGCTTGACGGCGCATGTAATTAGTATGTTAATTCATTCACTAACAATTCTCGTATCCCAGGATCCCGGGCATCCCGCACTCGGATGCGGCGCGTGTATTATGCAGCGGATAATTCTCAGCTGTCAAATGTGTATAACGCGGCCGGGCGTACTTCTATTTCGCGGGTGCGTGAGCGAGGGGCAGCGAGAGAAAGAGTAAGTGAGAGAAAGAGAGAGAGAGAGGGGGAAGCCCGGCCTTTCGTCGATACGGTCGAGAATAAATCGAACCGGCGCCGATCGATCCGACAACAAATCGCGACGGCGCCGGCTGCACGAGCGCGCAGTAGTGATTGGCGTCGAGTCGACCGCAACGTTTAGCGCTAAAATAACGCGAGCGCGAACGTGTGAACTCGTTACGGACGGTTAATCGGTCGCAGGGGATGGGGGAGGGGGGCAGGCGAGCGAGGGGAGTTCGGCGACGCCGACGGCTGCGGCAACTTCAAGGTTTTCGCTGTTTAACCGCGAGTAGACCGGCACGTCGGAATAATATTTCCGCTCTTCGGCATTGGGATCACGTTGTCGTTGCGTCGGCATTTTAATTAATCGATCGCGCGCAATTAATTTATCGGCGCAATCGACGGCTCGTCGAGCGTGTGTGAGCCATAATAATGGGCCGCGAGAGCGGAGCGTTATTTCACGGAACGCGGGACGTGTCGCTCCCTCTACCGCGCCGGCGAGCGCGGCCGAGGGGGCCTCTCCTTATTTAAACTAATTGATTTATTACGCAGCCCTTAGGAGCGCCTTTCTTTAATAATCCCTCATTGGACCCGGGGAATAAGACCGTCATGGAACTTATGCAAGCGGCGTCTAGACGCGCCGCGCTAATCCGGACGACGATGATGAGGTAGGCGGGGAGAAGGGGAGCCGGCAATAAGAGTACATTTTGACAAATTAAAACGGATCGTGAGGGTCATAAGAACGCGCGATATCTCGGATTTTGTATCACCCGTTTGTTTCCCCCGTTGTTTAATCCTTTACTGGATTAATCGCGATAAACGGATCGACGATTTATTTCGTCCCCGTTTCGACGCATCATTCCGCGTGCGTGCGTGGCCGTGCGAATGTGTATGTGCCCAATAACGAATTTCCGTTCGTTTAAGATACTAGACACTGCAAATGCGCGTTATCACGCGCGCTATTAATTCCTGAGTTTCCTCTTCTCTAAGAAATCCTTTGTCGTTAGGATACACGATCTTGGCGTGATTCATTTTCTCACCGACAATCATTGCGATTTACCCACCTGCGTGCGCTACATATAGTATCGTACTTGATTAATCAGCGCATTCTAATCGAACGTATTCAGCATCATTTTTAGCGCCGCTTAAACTTCTGTATCAGGCAACCTGTGTCATCATACTTCTCTCGTCAACCTTTGTAACACAGATAAACATTTTATCTTCGGAATACAGAAATATCATACGGATTTATTATTTTCGTACGATATAATTAATGACAATCTTGATTGTTTTAATGTGATCACTCCAATATTTTGGTGCTTCTTAGATTTAGCGTTCCTGCTAGGCGCTTCAATTGCACAATTCGGTCAAATCAGAAAACTCAGGAATCACGCACATCTCCCATTCCGTTCACCAACACATCGAGGATGTTAATGGTTCTGCGGCCACGCGATTCTCAGTCAGCAAGACACGTTCTAGAGCACCGTTACGTTACTTATTCATTAATTTTACATTGTAACATTATATTAAGATTATGTATTATTTTATAACGCTTAATTTCCCCCGGATATTCAAACCGTCAAAAATTGTAACTCTCGCGACGGCAGCCGCTCGCGGTAAACGGTCGAAACGAGCAACACTTGAGATCGAGATAGCCAATCAGCATCGCGGAAAAGGCATCGATAGAATTTACATATCTTTTTTTAAGATATGATACTTTAGAGTTAAAAAAAAAGCTTTTTTCCACTTTCCGCGGAAAGAAACCGAAAAAATCCCCGTGGAAAAGGGAAAAAAATATCTTTTTCACGTTTTTCGCGGAAAGAAACCGACAAGAAATGGAAGGAGAAATGGAGGAGAAATGAAAAGGAAAATCGGGTTTTTTTCCGAGCTTTTAAAACTATAGGACACTTCGTGGGAGCATGCGGGAGATGGATGTAATTTTAGAAGACATTACAAGCCGCCACGTCGAGGCTACCTTGACGCGAACGCGCATGAGATAAAAGAGGAGAGAAGAAAGTATGTAGTAAACGCGCGTAATCTCTTAAATTCATTATCCAGTTTCCGACCAGCCACATCCCTTTGACACGTCGTACGTGGCCAAAGGGTTAATCCCGCCCAACTGGCGAGATAGGGAGATGGTTTTCGACGTGACGATTCTGGTGCAGTACGGCGAACAAAGGCACGCCGAGCCGAAGAAAGTCGCCAGAAAGATCCGGCAGTTTATTCTCCGGATGGGGGAAGGCGCGGGGGTCCAGACGAACGGACGGATCATCCTCGGGTCGAGTTTATTACCCGAATTAATTGGTTTATGGATTGCCCCACTCCGACATGGGAACACCACGTGCGGTTACACGGTGTGGTGGGGCGGCCAGAGAAAGAGACGAAGAAAGAGAGGAAGAAACACGCGCGCTGGTGGCTGGAGAGAACAATTCGACAAAGAGAAGAGAGAAAACGAGAGAGCAAGAGAGAGAGGGAGGGGAGAGAAAACCTTTTGAAAACGGAGTAAATAGGGGATCACTCAAGAGAGAGAGAGAGAGAGAGAGAGAGAGAGAGAGAGAGAGAGATGGAAAGAGGGGGACGTGGCCGCGTGACGGGGAAAGGAGAAAATAAGCAGGAGGGAGATCGCGGGGAAAGGGGGATCGCGCGATTCGGAGAGTGGTGGTGGAGCATGCGCGGGTGGGAGTGGTACCTTATTCGTCGTACAGCTCCCGCCAAGGGTTTCTGTCAACTACGAACTGCCGGTGCAAAAGGTTCCCGGGTACCTGTTGTAAAGCACCACGACACGGCCGTTCGCCTGGACACCGCGTGCACTCTCGCGTGGTATCCCGCGTATGATTGCAGAGACCGAAGCGATCCCGTCGAACGCGGCGCACGGGGCATTCGTCGGAAGGAGAAGGAAGAGAAAATCGCGACATATCACGTTCTTTAGGTAGAACCGGTACCGATGACCATAGAAAGAGAGAGAGAGGGAGGTCGCTGCGACGGAAGGACCGATATTGAGGCGAAAGTTCGCTGATAGATCGCCGATCGCCTCGTCCGCTCGGTGCGTCGACCGAGTCTCGTGTGCTCAAAAGTGACAGTGAGAATACGCGCGTGAGGATACCATCGCGCCGTGAGAGGATACAGTGTGCCGATCGGAGAACTGGAGGAAGTGTGTAGCTCGTGGTAGCGTGTCCGAGAGGACGGTGCGGCAAGGAGATTATCGGGAGGACAACGCGGAGGAAAGAAAGTAGGGGGGTGGACAGCCGGGGCAGCCGCGGCACGTGGCCACGGGCGAAAGTGTCACGTGGGTGGTGGTGCATCGGGTCGTCCGAATCGTCGCGCTCGCGAATCTCCGCGGAAGGATCCACGGGAGCGTCGTGACGAGAATCGGGGAAACCGGCTGGCAGGAGGGAAAAGGAAAGCCGCAGGAACCACGAGAGAGAAAGGGGGAGAGGGAGGTGCGCCGAGCCGCGAAATAAACGGCGAAACGGAACAGGCTGCAATTCACGCTCGGTGATCCCCGACGACCCGTTCTCTTTTTTCCTCCTACCGTGTGCATGTGGTGAAAAAAAAAAGGAGGGGGGGAGGAAAGAGTGAGAAAAAAGAGGATACGCGTCGAGCGACTGCGAGAGCCGGATGAAATTCGCGGCGAAGAGCGCAGGCTGTCTCGAGCAACGCTCGTCCGCGCAACGACTCTGATATAACTTCGTGACTAACGAGCAGCCGGCGACGGAGCTGATTAATTAACGATGAGGAGTCTCCGCGGTCCGTGAACAATCTCGAGTCAGCACGGAACGCTCGTGCACCTGTTCGTTCGCGAGCGAAAAAAAAACCCCCGATGCGAACCGGCCGTCTGAGGTTCGCGAGACGCATCGACGTTCGGGACGCCACGGCGAGTAATTATTCCGCGCTAATTAGCGGCCTGAGGAACGAAGATCACCGGGACGGCGTTAATGCGCGTTACACCGCGCGCGAGAGAGAGCTGTCCGCGATGCGAGAAGGAGCGGCGGTTGTCGTGAGGAGGTGGTGATCTGTTTCGAGGGGGTGGATATATACGTGCGCGCACAGTGGCGCACACCTGGGCAACGTCGCGCGCGCGGAGGAAAAAAAAGGGAAGGAAGACGGAGACACCGCGGATCCTCGTTTAAAAAGTTCCGCGCCCGTGGGAGAGCCGGAAGTTGCGGGAGACGAAAAAACATTTACGTGGGACAACATTTACGGCGGAAGCTGCCGCTCTCATTCTCTCGCTCGCTCGCTCGCTCGTTCTTCCCCTCTGTCTCCCTCTCGTCGTCTAACAACTGACGATAAAAGGAAGATCGTTAAAACCGAGGAAAAGAAGAAGAAGAAGAAGAAGAAGAGCCCGCGAAATGACCGAAGTAAGCTGGAGTAATAGCGAAACTACTACTTTCGCGCGGATACACGAGAGCTGAGCGCACGGTTATTGCCCGCGACGGCCGGCTCGCCAGTGGGAAAAACACGTGGCGGTATCGAGAAATCGCGAAATCCGGACGGAATTCGCCCCGCCTCGGGATCGGATAAATCGCAGGAAAGTTAGATAAGAAGTACAACGCGATAATTCAATTTTGATCGAATCCGAGCGCGGCTCGCGAGCAAACGCGCCCGCGGCCGTTTCCCACCACGGTATCGGCGCGCAAGGTGGCAGCGACCGGTATTTTTGCGACCCGCCCGAGCGGCACAAATAGAGAGGAGACTACGTCGCGACGGAAAAATAAATCCCGACGAATAGCGGCAGCGGGAGAAATTCCGCGCGTTCTCCCGCCCGTGAAATCCGTAAGTAAGCTGGAATTTTTTTCGAGATAACCGGGCGCGCGATCGGTATTCCGAATCTTCTTAAGAAGCGTGCGCGCACGGCGACGAGGAATTCTGCCGCGTGGGAACGTCGCAGGAACGCCGCGGCTGAACAAATCGGCAAGCTCTATATACCGTACCGAAGGCATTCCGCTCGTTCGAACGAGCTGCCGGCCGTCGTTGAATCGGATGCGGCCAACCCGACTGTCTCTAACGCACCGAGGAGGAATCGACGATTTTCTCGTCGGGAAACACGTGACGTTCTCGCCAGAGTGCCTCTTTCCTTCTCACCCTACCTCCCTCTCTCTCTCTATCCTCCTTTTCCTATCTATCTTTCTCGCCCTCCATCAGTTCGCGAGGATCGAAGAACGTTGAGGTTTTCTACGGTGTACCCGATTACCGCGGAAATTCCCGACGGTGCATCTCCACGAGGTGTGAGACTTTTTCCTCGTCGTCGTCGTCGTCGTTGTACAAACGTTCGCGATTATCGCCGCGCAAATGTCAAGTGAACGATGAAGTACTCGAGGGTGCAGGCGAAGAGGAAGAAGTGGGGCGCCACTTCGCATGGCGAATCGTGCTCCAGGTGCGGCAAGTGTCTGACTAAAATGCAGCTCGTACTACTGTCGGTGCTACTCTACTCCTCTCTGACGACAGGTGAGACAGCTTTAATCTCGCAGGGACGACGTTCCCGTTGCTCCTCCCTTCCTCCCCGACTTTCCCGCCCTCACTCTGTCTCTCTCCGTCGTGTAATCTGCATTTTTCCTCTTCCTTACTACGTTAACGCCCGGCTTACGATTTACATGCCGCCCTTTAACCGTCACGCGACTTTAATCTTCTTTAAACCACCTCGTGAATTTTGCGAAACATAATTTCTATTTTCTAATCCCTCAAGAGTTCGAGGAGATCCCTCGCTCTCGGACTGCTGCCGTGAAACCGGCTAGACGTAAGATCGCCGGGGCGGCCGCCGGAGTGGATGGGATTGCTTTCTTGCGAATACATAAATGTTTAAATGTCACGGGCGAGAGAGATCACGGTGTGTTGTCGGTAGCAGCCGGAATAAGATTTATCTCCGCGGCGCTACGCGCAATTAGCATAATGAATAATCACATCGATCGCATTATACGTCACTTCGCCGATAAGTGCTTAATAGGTAAATTAACGGTGACAAAGTAACGTAATTAATACGCTAACTAGTTATTAAAGTCATCGCGTGGATACCACGTACCCTCCCCCTCCCCCCGCCCCTCCATCGCTATTACGAAGGTAAACCTCGTTTTACCGTAGGCTGAAAAGAGATTGGGATCATAAATATTCAGCGACGTTTAAAGCGAACGCCCGTCGGGGAAATTTTCACTTTGAGCGATATACAATGTCATATACATATATGCGCATACACACATGCACGTATACGCGTGTAGACATACATTTATATAATATAATATACATATATACATACATATATGCATATGTATGTATATATGTATATAAATATGCATATGTATATAAATGTACACACACACACACACACACACACACACACACACACCTGTGTTTTGGAATCGCAAACGGGAGCCGAAGCAATTTAACGAGAACTTCGCGTCGAGCCACGTAACGCGACAAACTTAGCGTTACCGATGTAATTCGCGCCGTAAAACGCTCGGGCTCGTCGCACACGTGAATTCCGGACTATTACGTCCGCGAGCCGCGATTGGAACTGCTGCGCGAATACAATCCACGTCGCAGATTGCTTACCAGTAATTAGGTTGTATTAACAACGCGCGCTGGACAATTACTGCAGATATTAGCGATTGTCGCTCTGTGCGCGCGACGCGGCGCGAAACGATCTTACGTCGAACAGCAGAATTTCGTACGAACCATCGCCGAATCATATTTCGCGCGAGGGCTCGTGCCGCGCGACGGACGGTGATTTTGCCGGAGAGTGACCGTTTGCTGACCCTTTGAATTTTAATTTAGCGTCTTGCGGGCACAATAAGACGCTTCGAAGGGTCGCAAAGAGAAATCCCCCCCGGGAGAAACACATCCGCGAAGGACCTATAAATATCTCGAAAGGAATATTTTTATTTCACGCTGCGGAAACAATCTTGCAATCTCAGTACGTCAGGAACAAGACCAGCAATTTCTCCGGCTGCAGGAATTTATTCAAATCCGTTACGTGCAAAATTCAAGGCGATCATGATGCGTCATTTGTTTCCTCCTAACAGCGCGCACGTATTCCCCGTGTGTGTCACCGACGACGTCGTCGGTGACGACGGGCTCGCGTAAACGCAGTCGATCTGCGGGAATCCAATCCGACAAGAACTCGTAATTGAGACGATTCGTCGACGATCGTTCGCCTCACGCTGACCACGGTGGCTGTAATCGGGGTTTTCGTGGTGGGCGAAGTGGACGATTCGTCGTGAAATTCGATCCGCCGACGGGTATAAATCAAACGCGATCGTGGGTTCTAAATTTGCCCCGGGGCCGAACAAAGAAACGCGATCGTTTTCGCGGACGGAAAATGTGCCGGGACGGGGAAAAAGAAGGTGCGCGATCTTCTGGGGGTTGGCCGGGAGTGGAGAGACGTGCTGCGCGCAGGAAGACGGAGCATGAGAGAGAGAGAGAGAGAGAGAGAGAAAGAGAGATCGACGCGAAAGAAAGAAAAGCGCACGCGGATGCGACGCGGGCAACGAAGGAGATTATGCAAACGGCAGCCAATTCGATTGAAGTGCACCGCAAATAACCGCAGTTTTAACCCATTCGAGTAAATGCACGCGAGAGAACGGCTGCCGCCCATCAGAATATCGCGAGAACATACGCGTAATCTCGCCGAGACTGAACGCGACGCCGCTCGACGACCGTGGAGGAGGGCGCTAGATTTTACGTCAGCTTTAGTTAAAAACTTACCACTGCCTGACGATCGTCACGTCACCTCGCGAAATCGCTCGTTCCACTTCGGCTCGTTACCGGCCGACAAGTTTCCTCCCACGTGGACCTTGTCCGTTCCAAGTGACTACCGGAACACGCGGTGCTTGCCGCCATCCTGTCACAAATAGAGATATAACTTGACATAAAGGGAATGTCCTAATTTGTAACAACGTAATCTCGTCGTGGAGGTAAATTAATAAATTATTACAATAATACACGTGTTAAGTGCATAACATTTGTTTTGTTCAAAAGTTTAAATATCTGGGATTCCAATTCTAATGAATGGTCTTAAATTTACGATAAAATTTCAATTAATTTATAATATGTTCTCAAAAGTGATGGAAGTACCGTTTAGTAACATGCAACTTTGATTTCGTCCCAATTTGTGTGAAACGTGTATGCTTATGTTACTGACAAATAACAAACATACGGACAGCTCTATTACTGACAATCATTATTCGAATGTCGCAAAACGATACAGAAATATGAACGTCCCTATTACTGATCTAAACATTACCATTATAGACCAAAAACTCATATTTACACTATTTGCTAAATTTTAGAGGAGTAAATTACAATCTTGATATTATTCTCTAACTGTATAATGAATAAAATTTACAACTCACATTTTCTCTTTAGAAACAGGAACGTTTATACCATTTTATGTTATATTTATTAGGTAATCAGTAATGGAGGTCAAATAAATATTCCAATATCGATTTTAGTGGCATACACGTATTAATACATATTAACAAAAAATATATACTTTATTACTTTCTTCGCTTGCAAAATATTCTTTAGTTTCTGCTCGACTTTGACAATGCGATTTCAATCGCTTGAGGATAAAACAAAACTACAAAGAAATATCACAAATAACGGTCAACTTCCAAGATGTCGGCGAGTAACTGTTTAAGTTGTCACGCCTGTAATTATGGTGTTCCAACATTCGCTATGGTTTTTAATTTTATTCGCAACTTATTATAACAGATGACGATACAAAATTTCGAATAAAAACATATTTTAAGATAAATATAAGGCTATATTATTTGACTTATTTAAAAAAGAAAAGAAACGTACGATTGCCACAAATTGGGACACTTTTACGAATTGGGATATTCGCCTTATATATAAAAAATATAACAGAAACAATCGAACTGAAGGATAATTAATAACGCATAAGAAACCCAAGAAAAGAGATAAGTTAGAGAAGATTGTTTTCGTGTGGTCGCCAAATGCATTTATTCGATAAATCAATGCAACGACGAGTATTACTTCCTCGGCAATTGTTGTGCCCGGATAAAACGGTAACAATTAAACGGTCGATATGTTGATAAAAAGTTATCACGAGCGAATTTATCGATAAGCCGTTGCATATGACGCTATGCGCGTACGCGGATAATATGTAGCTAGTGTAAAAGGAGCTGCCACTCAAGATTACCTGCTAATACCTGGATAACTGTAGCTACATTTGATTGTTCTATCTACATACTCGTAGTATTTTCAAGAGGCGGGCCGATAGCCTCATCTGGCTGTGCCTCTTTGACGGTATTAACAAGCGAGATTCGAGTTTATGCCTGCGGATTAGAGTTCAAGTGACTCCAACCGACATGAATGCTCCACTGACTGAATCGCCGCTCGAAAGCAAGAGTTATTTTCTATCGCGTTGAAGGGAAAATACAATGTACACGCTCACTCGTACGAGAGAAGGAGGCGAATTAAATGTTGTAAAAAGGAAAAGGAAAAAAGAAATACGAACCCGCGTTTCTCTCCCCGTTCCCGAATTTTCTTTAAAATATCTGCGGAAAGAAGTCGGTGACGTTGATTCTCTCTCCTTCTCTCTCTCCCTCTCTCAGCGATGAATTACCACATTACGTCTCTTTATCGAATTAAAGAAAACTATAACTTTAGTTAACGATAACTCGCCACTAATTAACGTCCTCGCGCAGCTCCATTCGCCGAAACTTCGTCATTTTTAACATGAGAGAAATACTCCCTCTGTTAAATTCTCTATTTTCTCTATAAAATTTAAGGAAGGTCGGTTCTCCGATAGGATTTGTTTGGCGGTTAATACGAAAAAAGGGTAGGAGGAGAGAGAGGGAGAAATAGAGAGGGCGCGCGGGCTGGATCGAGGCCATATCGAGAATTGTTTCGAAGTTTTGATAAAATTGCATTACTGCAACTACAATACGATCAGCTCGGGTAAAAGCAGCGGCGGTGGCTTCTTGCAGTTTACCGGACACCGACGAGGCGGCGTGTAACACCGCGGTGTGCGTGCGTGACGCGAGTAGGATCGCTGGCGAAGCTAGCATCATTGCGGAATTAATTCGCTCTTATCGCCGCGCTACGATCGTTCGTTGCGGTATTCCACTCGAATTATTATCATGTTTAATAACACACCGTGCCGGCGCGCGCACGTAAGTGCACAAATATTGCGCACACCTGAGAGAGGGTAACACGAACTCGCGCGTCAGGTCGCCTACGGTCGTTCGCGTTTCAACGCCGTAATACAAGCGGGCGTGTAACTTTCGTATTTAAAGTTGTACCCGCGGAGCGTAATTCGTAGACGGCGGGCGAGGCTATCGAGCCGCGCGGCACCGCTAATTCCACACGATCGTGAATTACATTGTAATCCCCCCGTTGCGAGGAAGGGGGGGGGGATCTCGCTTGCGCGGAGATGTGGAAGAGAGCGTGCGGGAGTAGAGAATACGAAGGGAGAGATAGAGAACGGGGAGGAAAAACGTCGCTGTAGTCAGACGTCATTAAATCTGCGAAATCACGAGGCGACTTACTTTACGACGCACAGTTTCCCCGGGTCTCACCGGGAAAAAGCATTGAAATAACAAGAATCCTTGCGACGTTCCGAGAGAGAAAGAGACCGAGCACGTTCGTTACGTTCCTCCGCCGCCGCGTTACCGCACAGACGTTATTTTAGGCGGCCTCCGCGCGAGCCGTTCCTTTTTTTTCCCCACTTCTTCTCCTCGCCGAGAACGAGGAATTATCGACGGTTTCCGGTGAATTAATAATCCGCGCTTGTGCACGGACGATTCGAGGGAGGAGATGGTAAGAACGCCTCGTCGCCGGCCTGCCCGGTAAAACAACGCGCTTCTCGAACGATTCCTTTAACGTCGGCTTCTGGCTACGAGAGATTAATGATCTTCCAAGATGGCCCTTCTCGCGAACGGGGGGAGAGATAATAACAGCGTAGTAACGAAGGGAGGGGGCGCGTATAATGTGGGTCATTCCGGCGCGGACCCTCTCGTGCAGTCGAACGCGTTCGGGAGAAGCAAAATGCGCCGAGGCTATCCGCCGGAGTGCATCATTTTCATACGTAAACACGCAAGGAATAAGAACGGGCCTGGTGGGATAGGTAAGGGCGGCGGCGAGGAGGGTAGCGCGCATCGGCAATAAGACAGATGGCTTCTCCGGCACCGTGTCCCAGGAACGAGGAACCTCCTCCTGGGCTACCTCCCAGGACCCGGGTCCAATCCCGGGGCCGATGTTTGGCCTGCTCCTAAGATAATCCCCCCGGTGGTGAGCGGTAAATCCAATCTCGCGCCGGCGATTAATTCGAAAGAGTCACCGTCGGGGATTTAAACGGCCCCGGGCGAACTCGTCGCGCTTAATACCTGGTCGCACATCGGGACGACAGTTTAAGATCGGGGCGGCGCGGCGATCGGGCCGCGATCGGTTCTCGCGCGGCCGACGTGAATCACCGACCGATGTAATCCGCGACGCTCCCCCGTCGACGCCGGTAAATATATGCGGCCGCATTTACCTTTGCGAGAGACGCTTCGTCGCTCGCGCGACCTCCTCCGCCGAGGTCTCATACCGTTCGTTTAATCCTCAGGGTGACCTCCGGACCGCCGATTTCACGTGTTGCGAATTACGCTACGCCGGCCGCCTTCGCAGCCACGCTTCCGCTGACGTTTGCGAGGCCGGACAGTTCCAAGGGAATGCGTTATCGCTATTTGCGAACGTGACTGTACTCTTGCCGTCTGCAACTTCCACGATTCGTCACCGTCACTTTTCATTTTCCGCACTTCCGTCACTGCGGATATCGATACGCGAACAGCGTTATTCTTCTCTTCGTGGGTATCACGAGTCGGACTGTATGATAAATTAGTCGGATAAAATTCGAATTCGAGATCCCGGGATTCGAACTCTTATTATATGTAACGAGGAGCTTATTCCGCGTTTAATTTACGCGCAACGACTACGACGGGTTATCATAACGGATGCCGCATGCCGGGACTCTGCGAGGGGATACAGCTGGCATCGGTCCGGCGAGAGCGCTTTTTAAACGACGCCGTGTGCATCCGTTAATTTCGAAGTTGAACGAATCGCGCAGTCAGGATTCACAATGTAGGACGACTCGGTTCAATCGACACACACAATAGCGCCGATGTTCCCTCCGCCTCTCTCGCTTTCACGTTCTCTTTACGCATCTCCCTTCCTCCCATCCTCCCTTCTCTCTCTTTCCCTTCACTCTCGTGAATCCTATCTGTGCCTGATACGTGGCCGTGGTCTAAAATGTAGGGCATTAACTTCGCCGACGTTGGAATACCTGACCCCTCGACAATGGCCGCAATTAACAATGGCAGCCGTAATACCTGTGCGCAAACCGATACCGAAATTATCGCTTGGTTATTGCGCGCACACATACATACCCACGGCAGACACAGGCGTGCGCGCGCGGCCACGTGCACATTACACGTGTTCTCACACTGTCACGCTTCGCGTGCGGCTAATAGCACCGTGGGATCGTTCCGTGGCGTGACAGACGCGCAAGTATTAATTTCATATTTGTCTCCGTACTTAATTGCCATAATCGGCGGTATTGTAGCGAGCGAGCTAACTGGCCGCGTATCGATCATCGTCGTCGCCCGTCCACCTCTTCCTCCTTCTCCACTACCGCCGCCTCGTCCACGCTGCTTATCCCGTCGAGTTAAACGCCGTCCCGGCGGCACGGCGTTTCAGTTTCATGAATTGCAGCAATTGCGGTAATCGAGACGAGTGCACTTGCGTTACTTCGCTCGAGTCCCTTTAAAGCCCGGTGTTCCGTCGCGAATCAATTCCGTACCGAATCAGGAGGAGACCCAAGGATAGAGCAAACGT